CGCCAACTGTGTTCATTATTAAAAAGATTTAAAAAGATTTTGTAAAGTATATCGATATAGGTCTGCTCTCAGTTTTAAAACCAAACCAGTTTAGACAATTCGATATTAAAAGCAGACAGACTAAACCCAAATAGACTAGACTGGATCAGACGTACAAGATTAGGGGGTAAGAACTAATAAATTTGGAATAAATGCACAAAAATAAGCCTCTAAAAATTCAGTATCCAAATTTGCTTGCTGGGCGATTTATTTGCAGTGTTTTGTTTGAAATTGCGAATAAAATATTTGTTGTACATATTAATGTCTGTGTGTGAATATCTACATGCGTTCTATCGCTATATGTTAGATATTGTATGACTCTTATATATATACCTTAATTATATTAGTTTGATATTCTAAAAACAATACACAAATTTTAGATCAATTTCATAAATAAATCTGTGTATTATTTTAAATAAACGATAAATTTTGTATCGTTCAATGCGATCAACAAGAACCCGACAGCAAGTTCGGAGAATAAACGGTCTAAATTATCCTATTATTTTACTTGTAACAATTAATGGTCGCAAAGTACGTACATGAAATTATCAAAAAATCCACTACGAATACGTATATTATTTTTTTAACCCCTTAAAGCATTTAAACACTATAAATAAGATTCTATAAATGGCAATAATCAATTGTTTCACATAAGAATGTTCCGTGTTTCGACGATATTTATCGTTGCCGTTGCCGTTGCCGTTACCGATACTATAGTGATAGATCTATGGATTTGACGGGTTAAAAAGTAGATAAATCTTTCTGCTTTTAGTAGAAATCCAAGAACATTTCCTAGGAATAATGATGGCAATTCTTTTTTTAAAAGAAAATTATTATTACTCATAAGTAGTGAGAAAAAATCTCAATCTTGAGCCTAGGAAAAAATGGTTTCAAAAAAGGAATCGTGCACAAACGTTTTTTATCACAGATATGATGCGATATAAATATTTACCTTAACTAAACAATATTTGAAAATATTTAAAATTGATAATATAATAACATAATCAATATTACCTTGTACAACTAATAAATTAATAAAAGTCACCGCTTCACATTTTTAATATGAATTAAATGATCGAAATGGCCGATTCAAATTATATTTTCGAACCAAAGAAACAAAACGTAATAGCTGACATTCAAAAAACCGTTAATCAAATCCCTAGGTTTTCTATTGAATATGTAAAATCACTTTTTCCGATTTTCGCATGGATCGGTCGTTATAATACCACATGGTTGGCCGGTGATTTAGTAGCCGGGATAACTGTGGGATTGGTGGTAATCCCTCAAAGTATGGCTTACGCTAAGGTTGCGGCCTTGCCGGTGGAATATGGGTTATATTCTTCCTTTGTTGGTGTCACGATATATTGTCTTTTCGCAACGTCGAAAGACATGACTATTGGCCCCACCGCGGTCATGTCCTTGATCATAGGGCAAACTCTAACCGCAATTGCTAGTAATAAAGATAATGCGGGTTATTCAAATACAACAATTGCTGCAGCTTTTAGTCTTTTGGCTGGTCTTATCGTTCTTTTATTTGGTCTACTACGTCTTGGTTATATTGTTAGATTTGTTTCTAATCCAGTCATTGCCGGCTTCACTACTGGCTCTGCTGTCAATATCACTATCAGCCAGGTAAAGTTATATTTTTTATTAATTTATTTTAATTTATTACATTTTTATTAACAATACTAGTTCAAAACACTTTGATTTTTATTATAAAGATTGCAGGCTTGTTGGGCATAACTGGCGTAAATACTAGAGATTCTACGTACTTAGTTCTTGGAAACACTCTTGGAGCTTTGGGCCGTACAACTATTGATGCCGCTGCTGGACTCACTTGTTTATTTCTCTTATATGCTATTAAATTTGGAATGGTATTCCTTACTACGCGTTATCCTAATGGCAAAAAAACTTTCTTTTTCATCTCCACTTTACGCAACTTTTTCGTGGTGGTTGTTTACACCATCATCGCCTATCTACTCAATATTGGAAAAAACACCAATCCCTTAAGTATCTTGAAAACCGTACCTTCCGGACTCCATGATGTCGGCGTAAAGAATCTCGATAGCAAACTTTTAAGCATTTGCGCCCCGTATCTTCCTGGAATTTGTATAGTTTTAGTTCTGGAACATATTGCTATTGCTAAAAGTTTTGGAAGGATTAATGACTATAGAAGTGAGTTTCAGTGATATAATTTCACTTGTATATAACATGTATAAAATATTCTTGACTATAGAAGTGAGTTTCAGTGATATAATTTCACTTGTATATAACATGTATAAATATTCTTGACATTTATAAAAAATTAGTTGAGGCTAGTCAAGAATGTATCGCTATCGGTGCCACAAATTGTCTTGGCTGTTTATTTAGTGCATATCCGGCTACCGGTTCTTTTTCTCGTAGTGCTATCAAGTCAAAATCTGGTGTACGGACTCCAATTGCTGGTATATTTTCTGGCATATTGGTTCTTTTGGCACTTTACGCTTTAACTCCTGCATTTTATTTCATTCCTAATGCCGCACTTAAGTATGTTTATCACATTGTTTACTATTTTAGGGGGATGGCTA